AATTTGGAAACCTGGTTACTGTTTTTCTGCCTTGATTTTCTATTATGAAAAGCCCATTTTTCAGAAACCACCTAGCACTTTTTATTTTGCATAAGGCTAGATACTGCTTTCTGTAAAAACAATGGTCCCCTTAACTTCTTATATTTCTTGAATAAATCAGCCACTTTTATTCAGTAAACACATATTCAGTGCCTAGCCTACTATATGCCAGAAAAAATGCTAATTACAGAGTAAAAGCTTTTTTTCAAGCTACTTATTATCTGAAAAGTACTCTGGACAAGTAATCATTGATTACAACACAGTAGAATAAATGCTAGTTAGGAGAAAGTGCCAAGTTTAAAAGTCACTTAGGGAACATAGAATCTTGTAAAAGTCAGACAGTCTCTCAAAGGAAATGTAATCTAATTGTAATTAAGAGAGAAATAAGAAGTAACAGGGTTGGAGGTGTTGATGGGGTGGAACAAAGGAGAATTTTCTTAAGTGAAAACAGAGTAAGTGCAGAAAAATGAAAAGAAGAAAGGCAATGTACTTGTGGATTCCACACACTCCTGGCCACTTATTTTTCTAATTTCTTGTCTAAATTCCAAGCGTTGGTAGGTACCATTACCTGAAAAATTCATGGTATGCCATTTTGTGATTGGGAACAGAGAGAAGTCAGGTTTCTGAAATAATAATCGAAAGGTGAGTGATATTTACATTCTTTAGCTGTCATCTGCTTTTTAAAATTTTCATGTCTGCTTAAGAGCTAAAGGCAAAGATTTTAAATAGGTGATTTCCAGTTGACATGTTAGAACACAACCCAAGTACTACAATAGCTCCTTTGGCAGGTCTTAGTAAACAGAGCAAGGTCTGATTGAAGGTGCTCACTGTCCTGTTTCTTTCCTGTCATTGACTTCTTTCTCCTCACTCCAGTAAGTTTATTCTTTTGAAAGTTAGCTGTAGTCATGTTATCATTTATCAGTAATTGAATAAGGGATTCTCCCTTCCCAATCTCTTTTGTGTTTAGCTCCAGGCATCTTCTTTCTCATCTTTTCCTTTTCTTTCTCCTTCTTCCCAAACCCCTGACGGCAGACTTAGGAATTTGAATATGAGTCAAAAAAATACATGTAGGAATTTGAATATGAGCCAAATAATTTAAAAAATAACAGCAGAATATTTCTACATCCCTGTGAATGGACATGATTCTGTGTGGTTACTGCAGATGCAGGTATGTATTAACATCTACATTAATTATTGCTTCATGGGCTTCACAAAGCCAAGCCCCTCAAGTTAATCTCCGCCTCCTTTTCTGGCATTCAGAATATAAACTCACCAGAAACATTCCAAATGCAGAAGTGGTTCTCATCTTTTTTTTGCAGCTTAAGATCTCCCTTGGTATTTGAAGAGGCCTCAACTAGATAAATTTCTTTCACAGGATCATCTAAACAGGTTGTACTTTTTGTTATTAATATGAATACTTAGATTTTAGATATAGAAAATATGGAATGCAAATTATGTATCACAAAGCTGTTAAAAATAAAATATAGAAAGACCAAAGTCTTTGTTGACACTTTAGTTATTTAATGATATAAACATTTAAAACCTTTTAAAATAACTTGTTGTTAAACATAGTCTGTTTATGTAGTGTTCTGTTGCCTATTGCTTTAATGTAAAACTACAGTAGTATTGCTACCTTAAAAGTGCTGAATGCTGGACATGTTTTCCATTTTACTGATGAGAAAATAAAGCAAGCAGGGTAGAAGCAGGTAGAATAAAGATTGAGGGTGAGGACTGTGAGAACCTTATGTGTCTATATCCACCGTATTGCAGCACTGACCACAGGGCCTAGGAACAGGTAGACATTCACATAAGGAGTATTTGCTAGATAAAAGACAGGTTGGAAGATGCAGGAGGGGAGGACACAGAAAGGGAGGAAGAAAAAGAAGGAGAGAGGAAAGATAAACTCTGAGTTTAATTTTTTTATGTACGTAGAGTTAGGAGTTTAATATTTAACAATTTTTTATTGATGTGTCTTTCTGAACAACTGACCTATGTACTTATGATATGAAACTGACAATTTCTAACTGAAATATATCTTTTGAGAAAAAGGGGGGCACATAGAAAGCAAATCCATACATTGCAATATGAGACAATTTAGCAAAAGGAATAAAGTGAGAAAAGATATTTTATTACATGCCACCTACTTTGCCTCTCAGACCAAAATTGACTATGAAGGGGTATCTGGGAGTCAGCCAACTGCTTAATAATACATCTACCACTCCCAGATGACTATAAGCCAATTCTTACAAACTTGGCTGAAAACCAAGAAAGTAATACACATGAATAAACAAATCAACAGGCAGGACAAGTGGTGGTGCCTTTTATACACATTTCTTACAGTGAAAGATCTATTTTCTGAGACTAAGGAGAAAGCTTAGGGAAAAAGAAATTTATTGATAAGACTAATTTGTATTTTGGAAATAGAAATCATATAATTTTGATGACATTATATTTGATATGACCTAGAGCAAGGTTTTAAAAAGATTGAGATTACCCTACGGGCTAGGGTAATTATGTGTGTAGAAGAATTTATCAGGCAGCTCTTTGGGCAAATGTGAACAGGAGGAAAACCTAGAAAGGGTAATGTCAGGAAGGACAAAATGTGTTGAGAAGCTATGCCATAAATTCAAAATAAGTTAAGTTTGGCAGTTGGAAAACAATACCAAAGGAATTTGAAAGCTAATGAAAGAAAGTTTGCTTAATTAAAAATTCTGTTACTAAACCTGAACATGAAGTAGATTATCATGGGATCAGGAGATGAATTAGGAAATGATAACCATCTTGCTTAAACTTATAATGGGAGTGACCAATACCTTATTGATCAAATGGGGAAAAAAGCAATTTTAAAGGTGACAAAGGAATTCTTTATACTCTTAAGATTCCATGACAGTGTCATTAATTTCATCTTCTTTTCTTTTAAATATATTCACCAAGCATTTGGATTATTTTCATAAAATGATACATATTCCAAGAACTTAAAAATCTCTGACTTAGATATCTGGCAATAATAATCAAAATAATAATAATAATAAATAATCAAACCTTTGTTGTTATTTAATGTATACATAATTGGATAATTTACTAAAATTTTTTACTTCTGGAATTCTTTGTCTTTTTATATGCCCCAGCAATTTTTAAAGTAATTGGAGGCTCTGTGGTTTTCATTTATCATAGAAATATCAAGTATATCCACATTTTTATTTAGCTTTAAGCATTTTACTTCATAATCACTTGAGCTTTCCTATTCTTTTATGTGTCAGACATCTTTCTAATACAGTTAAAAAAGTGAATCTAGAAACCATCATTCTCAGCAAACTGACACAAGAACAGAAAACCAAACACCACATGTTTTCACTCATAGACGCGTGATGAACAATGAGAACACTTGGGCACGGGGAAGAGAACAACACTCACTGGGCTAGGTGGGAGGGTGGAGGGCAGGGAGGATGGAGAGGGATAACACTTAGAGAAATGCCTGATGTAGGCGATGGGGTAAGGGGATGGAGACAGCAAACTACCATGGCATGTATCTACCTATGCAGCAATCCTGCAGGATGCTGGATGTGCACATGTACATCAGAGCCCAAACTACAATTAAAAAAAATTCTTAAAGCACCAAAACTATTTCATGTGTAACTTTATTGTTTTTGCCCTATATGTGCAACAACTAAGAAGTGCTAGATATGTAGGAGGGTCTCATTATATATATAGTGGTTAATGGTAAAATATTGTTAAATACAAACAAAATATAAAGCACTTTTTTTTCAGTGTACCGCCATGAATTCTGAATTTGACTATTATGAAAAGTTTGAAGAAGTCCATGGGATTCTAATGTATAAAGATTTTGCCAAATATTGGGATAATGTGGAAGCATTCCAGGCAAGACCAGATGATGTTGTCATTGCCACCTATCCTAAATCTGGTAAATCTATTTGTTACTCTTTGTCACCTAAAATTAATAAACTCACCGTAAATGTTAAGATGTTCACATTGTACACACTCATTCTCTATATGCAGTAGTTTTGATATAGACATAGAAAAGGTCACTCTATTCCCTGACCACAATTTGTAGCTATAACTTGAATAGCATATTGACAAATAGATGTTGTTGAGCACAGTTAGAAACCAAAACCAACGTAATGTGTAGTAATGAACCTGTATTCATCCCATAATGAAAATTTAAAACTACCAACTGTTTACCTTATGCCATTAATGTTGTTGTATATACAGAGTATGACCACCAAATTTACAGATATTTTAAAACTCTCTTTCAGCTCACCAGCTATTTAGTCTATCCATAAGCATAGTTTTGGAGTTTTACAACTATAGACTTTTAGAAATTAGGCTAGTCTAAATTAATATTTCTCTATCTGGTTGTTCCACTTACTACTTAGAAATAAAGTGAAATGCTAAATATGCCCTTCGCTACCTTGACTCTAAATCTGCTTCTTTATTTTCTCCCCTACTGGAATCAATGGCAGCACAATACCAGTCATCTGAAGAGGAAACCTGTGAGCTATCCTAAGTTCAATCCTTCTTGCTTCTTCGTCTGCCATTTATAATCAATCAAAACGTTTTGGCCATTTAGTCTGATAGATATGTCTTACAGCCTCTTAACAGGTCTCTTATCTCCCTTCCTATGGATCCCTCACTCCACTACTGTGTTTATTCTAGCCCTAGAAAAAATCTTCTAAAACACAATCCTGATAATCTTGCTCTTCTGCTTAACATATGTCAATATTTTTCAATGATTTTTATAAAAACAACTTGGACTCTTTAGTATGAACTACAAGGCTTGCTATATCTGCTTGCCTGAGACCCAACTCCTCTTTTCAGATAGACTCTTTGATTGAGGTCTTATAGTCTATTTCCAATTATTTTCCTAACCACTATCCCATTCTTAAGTACCAACTTTAGATTAAAAAGAGACTGGACTTCTGTCTGGTAGAATTGTCTCTTACCTCCCACAACTGGTGAATTCATGCCAGTAATTATTAAGGCTAAGCTCAATGTTCACATCCTCTCAAAGGCATTTCTTTTCAAAATGTCATGGCAGCAGCACACTGACTTATATATTCCTCCTTAGAAGTTATTTAAATCCCTGTGCCATCTTATACAACAGCATCTTAATAAAAACAGAAAGTATTGGTACTACTGAACAATGTCAGTGACTTTTCAAAGGGCTTTTAGCTCCCATAGGACAGGAACCAGATTTATCTTTTGCTAAGTTTTCTGACCCAGGACCCAACCTGAGACTTAATATGCCATGAGTAAAATTTTTCATTGAAGGCATGTTTGTATGCTTCACCTATTATTAAAGCCTTCTTAATTTTTAGATATAAAAATTAAAGTCCAAAACTGTTATCAGCTTATACAATGTCACAATTCATCATGAACAAATTTGGACACAGGTCTCAGGTGTGCCTTACTTAATTTTTATCTTTATCTCTTGAAGTTATTTTTGTGTCCTAAACATAAAATATTATAGAAAATATTTCTTGAGTCTGGCTATTCAGACACCCTTTAAATAGTATTGCATTGGTACCTTTCTACTTTATCCATCCATAAATTCAGCACTCCTGTCATCAACTCTACATGGTCAGCAGGAGACTCAGGTTTATTTAATTTTTACAGGCACAACCTGGGTTTGTGAAATCGTGTATATGATCTATAAAGAAGGTGATGTGGAAAAGTGCAAAGAAGATGTAATTTTTAATCGAATACCTTTCCTGGAATGCAGAAATGAAAGCGTCATGAATGGTAATGTTCAGGTTTATTTTAGAAACTATTTGCATATATTCTAAGGTGTGTATGTAGATGGTAAAAGCAATGAGATTATAAGCAATAATGGCAATTAGTATAAGGTCTATTACATAAGAAATCATATAAATTTAAATTTAAATTTTGGCAGGCTTTGTATTATAGCATATGGATAGCATGTGTCTGCAATAGAGTGAATAAAGACAATTCTTGTATGCCTTCAGCAGAGTTTAACAATGTGTAAACATTTATTTCTCTGTGGGCTGAATGTGATATTTTAAATATTGAGAAAATACTAATAAATTTTTTCAATGATATATGCAAAAATATATTTACCTCAGATTCTTTTAATATTGTGGAAAATTAGAAACAACCTAAATGCAAATCAACAAAAGAATAGTTAAATATTGTATAATAACAGCATAAAATTGCTAAAAATTTTTGGATGTTTCTGGATATTGCAGTGTAAATATAATATACTGAGAGAAAAAGACAATTAGAAGCTATCAAAATGTTTATCTGTGTGCATGGTATTGTGATGGCTGTAAATTTGAGGATATAAGTAGATTTGCACAGAAGATTGATTGGCAAAATATTAATGATTGCTCCCAAGTGATGAAATTTTATTTTATTTTATATTTTTCTCTGTAGTTTTCTCTATCTGTGTTTCTTTTTTCATAGTGTTATTATGGACACAATATAGATTTTTTTTTAAAATTTTAAATTTTTGTGAAAATATATTAGATGTAAATATGGGCTTGGGGTACCTGAGATGTTTTGATATAAGCATGCAATGCATAATAATTACACCATGGAAAATGGGGTATCCATTCCCTCAATAATTTATCCTTCATGTTACAAAAAATCTAATTACAATATAAATATCTATATAAATCTGCATAAATAGTTATAATTTTTGACGTTGCCTAACCTTTACTTTTGTAAAAATCAGGAGTAAAACAATTAGAAGAGATGAATTCTCCTAGAATTGTGAAGACTCATTTGCCACCTGAACTTCTTCCAGTCTCATTTTGGGAAAAGAATTGTAAGGTAACTGGAGTCAAGTGTTCTCAAAACTTCATCCAACTCCAAGATATGATAGAATGATCTCATCAGTTATACATACTTGTTTATTTGTTTTTTCATTGATTCTATAGATGTTTAACAAGTGTGGAATACAACAAATATAGAATACAACTCTGTCTTTTGCCAGATGTGGTTCTAAAAAGTCCTGTTAAACTCCCTAAGACTAAGTTTTTACATCTGTAGAAGAAAGATAACATCTTTTCATAGAGTTGTTATAAGGATTAAATGATAATGCTTATAAAGTGCTTTACATAGTTCCTAGAATGTTGTAAACAATATGGTAGCTACTTTTATATTTGTTGTTATTACTAATTGTAATTGAATTTCCTCCCTTTGAAAAATACTGTGCTTGGTGTTGTTAGGCATGCAAATGAACCAGAAAAGGATAGATCAGATAAGCATTGTATAATAACTATGTATTGAGGACCTATTATGTGTTAGGGACTTAACAATAAGACACATGCAATCCTTGTCTTCATGGACACAGTCCACTGGAGTAAAAGGACAAGTGGACTGTGAAAGAAGTATCATAGGTTAAGTAAGAGAGAAATTTAACTCAGACTCTAGGGGTAGTGAAGGCATCCAGGAGCAACATTTCAGCTGATATTTGAATGATGTATAGGAGGATGCAAATTCAGAGATAATCTGAGGGAGCATCTGAAATCTGTTCAGTTTGGCGGGAAGATTAAGTATACATATTGGCTAAAAGGTAAAAGGAGATTAGCTAGAAATTGATTATAAAAAATATTGAAAGTCAAGTTAAGACGTTTGGACTCTTTCATTTTAATGGTAATGAGGAGTTATAGACATACTAAGCTTATAACCTATACTATTAGTTTTGCTCTTTAAAAATAGTGTTATACATAACCTCAAAATACAGGGGAAACATGAAGTCTGAGACCACCAATTCTGTTCTTCAAGACCTCTCTACCATCAGGGCTGTTCTTCAAGATCTTATAGCACTATTTGCAAATATCACTAACAAAAAAGGGGATATATCCCAGTCATAAAATGTGGTCATTTTGTAACCTGATACATGGCATATTTGACATTTCCTAGAGATCTACAGACAAAAATTTCAAAGATTTCCATGTTAGTTTGTTTTTATCATTAGCAATCCTAGATAGACCATATACATCCTGCTGAAGTTATTCCATATGTAGGGGCTGTCTCATTAGTAAACACCAGTTATGTACTTTCCAGGAGATATGGCATTATTATTTATTAAGAGATTTGACCAAGACACTTTTTCCCTTTGGAGGATAGTGGTGGGCTTGCTGTTAACTCCTTACTTCTCAAATAGAAACAGGTACCATACATTTACAATAGTCCAAGTCTTCACAAAGCTGCCTATTTTTCAGAGGTTATCAAAGAGTAGGAGATAGAGGGATTCATGTTTGGAGTATTTCCAGAGTGATTTACAGAGGAACAACAACAACAACAAAAAAAAAACAAATAGATGGAGGATATTTGTAAATATCCTTTTCCAAGTAGATAAAGGATATTTGGAGTGATGGAGCAGAGACCCTAACTGACAAAGAGAAGAAAGTGACAAAAAGTAACAGATTAGTAGATAATATCAATAACTGACGCCAGCGGATTTGAGCCCTTGGCGTGATTATAGGAGAGGTATGTGGAATAAATGATGGGGAAGAAGGAAGAAGCAGGATTTCTCCAAAGAAAAGATTATGGCTCAGGATAATGCTTCAAAAGTGAAACCTTCATAGTGAAGGCATGATTCGGTATTTGGTTACAAAAGTGGTTGTCTGAAGTAACCTAGAAGTAATGATCAGTGGTTATATGAACATAGATAATCAAGTAGATCACACCTACAGACACTAAAATTACACAGATGAGAAAAGAATTTCAATGGAGCATGAAACCATGAGACAGGTGTTCAAATTTTCAGTTAAAGCAAGGGAATGTCTGCAAGCTTAGAAATGGCATCATACTGAAGAGGTATAGAAAGTATCATAGGAATAGGGGACTTTAAAGTGCAGAATTTTTAAGATAGATTATAATCACAAGTGAATCATTGGCAAGCTAGTAACTTTGACTCAAGAGAGATGTAGTGCAAGTCTTATCTTCAGAAAAGAGCTAGATTTCCCTTGAGGACAGAAAAATGAGTATGTACAGTAAAAAGTTTGGGGTATTGAATAAGATCTGCCAAAAGAAATACTATAAACTAATAGGATGTTAGGGAAAGAGAGATCACTTTTTTCTATCTGGGAAAATAAAAAGCCTCATGGAGGAAGTGGAAGGAAGCTATAAAATATAAATCTCATTTTGAGAAACAGAAAACATTCAAGAATAAGAGAATAGAACGAAGAAGACAAGGGACGAAAATTCTGAAGTAAATTAATGCATATATTGGCAAAGGGTTCCATTCAGCCAATAAATGAAAAGAACTAGGAAGAGTTATAATTAAGATTGGGAAATTTCAAATTCACTAATGATGAATTTTATATGAAAAAATTTCACTTTTAGTCTCTAGTATTTAGAGGCTTTTAAAAGAGGGCCATAAAAATGAGAGCCATACATTTAAGAATAAGCTAGATTTCTATAAAACTGTTAGAAGATATCTTCAGTAAGACAATTTAGTAGGTTTAATCACATTCCATAAACAGTGGAGACTCAACAGTAGTCTTTCATGACATTATTTAGGTGCCTGAGGGCCTAAGTAGGAGACCACATGGTTACTGGATTTTACTTTTGCAGATCTTTTCATGCAGCATTCAGTATCAGACCTAAGGTAGACCACAGGTAATGTGACCCAAATCATTTTTTCAGTAAAGAAAATATTTAGATCCAAAATTGCTGGTACTTTGTATTCTTAGTGCCAAAACTGGAAACTAAAACCATTTCTTTCTGATAACTAATTTGTTGGTATTTATTCTGCATGTAAAATGGAAACTAACAAGGTGTTGGCAGAGATTATATTTTCACTGAATTTAATGTGCATATAAATAAAACCTCATAAACATTTTTTTCCTGCAATATTGAAAGTGAAGAGACCTCAGAACTATTTTTTTAATTATGCAGAGTGGTGGTCGTATAAAGACCAGAGCACTGTATAGTTGATTGACTGAAACCAAATGCTTTATTCTCATTGATTTAGTCTCAATGCTGTATTGTTATTAAACTTCAGCTCAGTCTCTTCACTTATAAATTGGGAATAACAAATAATCTAACTGGTTTAATTAATATCGATGAATTTTACTACACTCAAATGAGGTGTTATTTGTGAAAATGGCATAAAGACAAAACTTGAGAACAAACAGAACACAACACTACAAAAACCACTGTCACCTCAGGTTACTGAAGATGTCTTCATACATAATTTTACATGCTTTATACATTTTGTAAAATGAATGTGTACTATGTTTATAGTTGAAAATATAAATCTTTTTGTTAAAAATCTTGATGAGTGTGTTTGAAAAAATATTAAGTGGTTTAATATACAATTTCATCCTCTCAGATGATCTACCTTTGCCGGAATGCAAAGGATG